TCTTTCCCTTACTGCCCTGACCAAGGACTTGTCTTCCCAATACTACTACCCTTCTTTTCAAAGCCTTTTCACTGAGTTCTCTAGGAGACTTACTCTGCTTTTAAAAGTCCCTAGCACTCAACCTCTTCAGAGAATCCTCCCCTGCCTGCCGGGTCCTAACTAGAATCTGGCTCCATCTACAGGAAAGTATGTGCACTGCAGCATTGGAGTCAGTTTTCTAAACCCTACCACTACTGCTAGGACGCATCTCTTCCACTTACAGGTAATAAAACCTTTTTCTCCTTGAGCGAAGCGATTCTGGCACAACTACCTTCACTTCCAGCACTCCTCACCCACCTCCCGCCCCACTCCCAACACATTAGTGCTGTCTATAGATGCTATTCAAAATGTTGTCTACAGATCACCTACTTTTTGCAACTGATTCACAAGGCAATAACTACAAAAAACTGAAAGTAAGCATTTAGAATTTTACAGCAACCTGACATCAGTGGAATTGTGTTTGAACAAGGTGTTGTCGAACTCACGTGCTGAGACACAGTGGCACTAGCTATATCCACGTATAGGTCTTTTTCTACCAAAAGTGCTGCCCAAAATTTAATGTGCATGTAAATCACTTGGGGAATCTCATTAAAAATGCAGGCTTAGTAGTCTGGGGTGGGGCCTGAGAGTCTGCATTTCTAATGAGCTCCAAGCCATGCTGATGCCGCTGACCCACAGGCCCACTTTGAACTGTGAGGCTTCAGACAACTGAATTAGGGGACTTTCTCCAACCAGCCATGCTGTTTCATATGCCTGTATTTTGCAAATCTTTCTCAAATATTACAAACTAAACCTCTGCACTTACTAGATTGCCTCTGTTTAGAGTCACAGGCTACTCACAGGCTGTGTGCAACCTTGGGAAAGTTAATTAACCTCTCCGTGCTTCAATTTCCTCATCTTTAAGTGGGGAATAATAAGCCTAAGTACCCCACAGGACTGTTGTGAGGCTCAATGGGTTAATTAATGTAACAGTTATTAGCGTAATTCTTGGCTTATGTCAGCCACTTTAATTTTTAACTTTTTTATTCCTGCCTTATCCACTTGGCAAACTTCTGTTCCGCCTTAAAGTCTGCTCAGGTATCACTTCTATGAAGCTATTCTGACATCCTCCCACCCCAAAGTGAGCCACTCACTCTTTTGTGTCCTTAATACACTTTATAATCTAACTCTACTGAGATTTTCCTGCCTGAATATAATTTAATTATTTCCATGTTTCTCTCTCATAACCTAGTGTGCATGTGTTGAGAGCAACAATTTTCTTCATCCATTTCTGTTATCTATAACACCCAGCATGTTGACTGGCAAAATTAAAATCTGTGAATTTTTGATGTAAATTATTATGAATCAATCTTACAGAGTTTTCTAGGCTACAGTATGAACAAATGTTATAAAATATTATCATCAAAACCCAGAAATGTCATTGTATTTTGTTGGGAAGATTTTCTCTCTCAAGAAATAAAAATTAATCATGACAAATCATTTTAAGCTACTTATATAAGACTTAGGACTCTATGACAATTACAAATCATTTATTTTTATGGTGAGAACAAGAAGAAAGGAAACATGGGAGCTGTTTTTAACCAGGAGTCTTTGGGGATGCAGTATGTGTCTTTTTTAATGAGCAACACTAAATGTACAGTCTTAGAATTAAACTTTCTAGATATTTTCTCCATTTTACCAATACATATGAATTGACTAAAAAGTAGTTTACTCTAGCATAAATAAAAGGAAATGCCATCCAGCAAATAATCTGAATTAGCCCTTTAAAAGGTCCTTATTTTTAAAACGAATGTAGCCAAATAGCAGTTTTTTTGTTTTGTTTTGTTTTGTTTTGTTTTGCAGCACGCGGGCCTCTCACTGTTGTGGCCTCTCCTGTCGTGGAGCACAGGCTCCGGACACGCAGGCTCAGCCGCCATGGCTCATGGGCGCAGCCGCTCCGCGGCATGTGGGATCCTCCCAGACCGGGGCACGAACCCGTGTCCCCTGCATCGGCAGGCGGACCCTCAACCACTACGCCACCAGGGAAGCCCAGAAGTAAGAATCTTAAGAGTTAAGTCACATGCAACTATTTTCCTAAGAACTCCTTGCACATGTCTTTGAATGACCGTTTCATTATGTCATCTTGCCTCAGTCCTCTGCCCCAGTAGTGGAAAATGGTACAGGTAGACGCATTTAGAAAAGAGCATAATTCAAGCTTTTATTTTCTTTATGTCTAAAGCTTTTCCAGCCTGGAAGCCTTCCTCTTCTTACCTCTGTTTTTTAGTGGAGGCAGTGTAGGGTGTAGATCTTTATTACACTCATTCCGCTCTGTGCAGCATTCAATTGATCTTCTTTGATGAGGAATGGGCGTGTCCTAAAGTGGGACCCAAACAGCTATTAATAAATTTCCCCTAAATTTCAAAGTCATACCATCCAAAACTAGTAAATTAACGCTATTTAGAGAAGTCACTTAAAATTCTGATAGTTTTCTTCAAACATGGTGAAACTGATGTATTGTATTAGGTAATTTCTTTCAAATCATCATGCATTATCTTACTGCAACTTTTGCATTTCAACAAAATTACTACTCTCTTTGTAATAACCAACGTGTGTAGCGTAAACTGAGGAAGAAGGTTTGGCTTAATGCAATTAACCAAACTGGAACTTGAGCAAGATGATCTAATGAGTCACTAAACCAGAAGTTAACGGCAAAAATAAAATGAATATTTGATTTCTAAAGGAAGGAAGAATTGCCCCAATGCGAATTTTCAAATTATTTTCCAAATTACTGAAAACAAGAGAGTAAAAAAAAAAACCCAGAACAATTTTTATATCTTGTTTGAAATTTGGCTGTTTGAAATCTAGCCAATGAAAGGTTACAAAGTAGAATCAAATTATCTTCCTTACCCGACACTGAAAATCTGAGCCTTCTAGTCCTAGACATCCAGAAGTGACCACAGGCATCCCAGAATCATCTTCTTCTATCATTGTGAAACAATATCCATCTGTGCTAAAGACCAAACAGGCAAAGTAAGTGTGTGTGTGTGTGTGTGTGTGTGTGTGTGTGTGTGTGTGTCTCTACGGTAAAAGGAAATGAAGATGTTTATCACTTGTTTCATTACAAACAAGAAGAAAGTCAGATATCATTAAAGGTCACCATCTGTTTAAAGAATCCCCAAACTTCCTTTTATGAAAGTTGACTTAATTATCATAAAATATTTAGTAATATCTCCTCTGTCCAGAAACTTGCAAGCAGGAAGGATCCAAAATTTCCATATAACGTATAAATTACTAACCATATATACTAAATGCTAAACACTTATTTTGGTCCTTCACAGGTATCACCTTCAGAAATCCACTCTAAGAAGAAGGCAGTACTATGCTTACTTTCTATCTGAGGAAACTGAGGCTCAGAGACCCTGAGTAATTCTCAAAGGCTGTACAGCTACTGAGAGGCACAGCAGGGGTTTGAACCTGTGCAGGTGAACATTTATTCTGGTTCTACTTACTCTGAGGTAGTGAAATAAATTCATCTCTTACTAAGGCACACAGACTAAGGACAGGTAGGAGTTGGGATCAGCACAGCCTAAGTGAAGTGAGTAAGATTCTGCCATGTGGTACCCTCTGCTTCTGGGCAGGCATATGAAAACATCAGGCTTTGTGGTTGTCTTATTTGGGTGTGGGGTAAGGATGGACAACAGAAAGAAGGGTTTTTAACAAGATCATGGAAGCCAAAGAAACAATACTTTTCATTTCTGTCTGGTTTTCTACATTGAGAAGAACTTTCACTTATTCTATCTCATTTAATCCTCTCAACAACAATGAGAAGTGATATTATTTCTATTTTACAAATGGGTAAATTAAATTTCTGAGAGTCTAGCAAACTTGTACAATGTCACAAGACAAAACAGTTACAGAATCAAGCCTTGAATCAAGGACTTCTTGCTTCATTTCCACAGGGATTAAAAATGAAAAACAAGGACTATTATATATAGAACTATTTATAAACAGACACTACTGTCTTCACAAGCTCGGGTGATAAACGCCCGCAGACTCCCAATATAAGTCATAAACCACTACCACATGCCTAAGAAATAAAGTACTAAAGTACTATCTATCTTTCTCTCATATATATGCATGCTCAGCACCCAACACAGATGTGACAACATAGTCCTAAAAGGTCATGGGAAGAAAGCTCTGAGCGTGGTGTTAGCCGTGATTTGTGTGTTGGTCTATTTTATGTTAGTGGTAGCAGCATTCTGCCATACATTAGCGCGTCAGTTATCATCAACACCCTTAGAATTGTTTACTTGGTTTATAAGCCTCAAGCGATCCAAAATGCCTCAGTTTATAAGAACTAGCACAGCAAAGTTCAAACATACTAATGAATGGCTAGGAACGGCCAATGATAATAAATCTCTTTGTTAGACTAAGGTCAAATGCATGAATATTGCTGTAGGAGAAAGACTGCCTTGGAACAGCCCATGCTCTAAATTCTTTGGGGCTTTTTAGCCAATGTACTGAAATCGCTATGAAAATCTAAAGTATGTAAACGCCAAAGGCAATAAATAAAAGACCTGTCCCTTAGAAATTTACTTTAAACAATATAAGCAAACAATACCCATGTGATTTTTTTTTTATCCCTTTCCTATACATTTAGACTATATGTATAACTTACACTTCTCATCAAAAGTAAAATTCAGGAGTTAGGAATAAAGTCAGTTTAAGTTTCTGACACTAGGAAATCATAGAGCAGCTAGAAAAGTTTGATACAATATGTTAAATCTAAAAAGACTAATTTCTCCTTAATCAGGAGGCCTCCTTAAATCAAAATCTGAGAATACAGAAATGTACTGTTAGGCAACTTTAAGAATCAAGAAAGAAGAGAGAAAGCTGGTAAAGCTGTTGGCAGGTTACTGTTACAATGTCCTGGGAAACAAAGAAACACCAGGAAGAGTAAATTCAAGCTTTAAAAATGCACTCCCTCTTCTGTGAAGAGGGGGGGAGCTAAGAATAAAAAGAGAGGATGGAAACTACATTTTTGGTGGACAGCACGCTGTAATGTACACAGAAGTAGAAATAAAATGTTGCACACATGAAACTTATGTAATGTTATAAACCAATGTTACTTCAATAAAAAATAAATTTAAAAAAGAGGGGATGGAGAGGGAGAGAGACCCTGGAAAGAAGAGTTGGTGTCCCATAAGTCATAAATTTGGATAGGAACTCAAATATGTAGTTGGAGGACAAGCAAGGAGGTGAGAGAACCATTTCAAGTGCATATTACTGACAAGAAAGCAAAAATAATTTATAAGCTTCTTACTGAAATTGCTAGCTACTAAGGGACATTAACTGGAAACCTGCAGTACAATTACAGAAGCTTAAGAATTACTTGAGAACTTTCAACTCTCAAGCAAGCACAAAGGTAAACACAACTACGCTCTGGAGTCAAAGCTGATCAACGTCACCCATCACTATGAGCCATTCAACTCTTAACCATGGGCTTATGTGAACATTCTGTTGCTGGCTGCCATATTTAAGCTTAGTTTTTAAATGTTTTATATAGATTATTATCCCAACATCCCCAGAGTGTTGAAAGTGGTAACAAGAAGAGATGAAGAATTATGAAGGAAATAAAAGTTGAAATAATTTTAAACAAAATTGAAAGTAGTGAGATGTATACATGAACGCAGGATGAACCATCTGATTACAGTAATTATTATGAAATTTAAAAGAAGACAATTGACAAGGGGGGAGAGGCAAGATGGGGTAGGCGAATAAGAGGTACAAACTACCATGTATAAAATAAATAATCCACAAGGATATATTGTACAGCACAGGGAAATTTAGCCATTATTTTTTAATAACTTTAAATGGAGTATAACCTATAAAAATATTGAATCATTATGTGGTACCCATAAAACTAATATAATATTGTAAATCAACTATACTTCAATAAAAACGAAGACAAGGTAAATTTCAAAAATTCTGCCCCTGTGTTATAGGTAAAGGAAAGTAATTGACAAAACAGAACAGTTGCATACAAACATGATCAGTCATCAGTACTGAATGCCTCTCAACATAATGCTAACCCATGAAAAAGCAAAGCATTTGAAAATGAAAAGGTCATATGAGGTCAAAGTAGTGATAATAAAACTTCTGTTACAACCCTTGGATTGGTCTACAGTTTCATGACTCCTTGAATCTGCCCAGTATTCCAAAGGCAAAGGAGTGCCTGGAACATCTTGAGAGATCATCAGGGATAAACTGCCTCAAGAGATCTTCAGTGTGCCCAAGTGAACATTTACTAGCAAGTAAGAAAGGGATATACTTAGTTTAAAGCTTTGAGGAACCAAAGAATACTCTTTAGGAGGACGTGCATCCAGAGCCTGAAAGTTCTGCCCATTTTCATTTGGGGTCAAATAGATTTATAAACAGTCTTCTGGACCCCAACTCATTCATTGTAGGGTGAGTACAGGGTTTATAATGTTCACCCAAGTTTTGGTGCCTTTAACTCTATTTTTCCACTAAGAGCTTCTGCTTCTTTATTATAAACCCCAGGATTGTCCAGAAACAATAACCACCAAAGTGGAGAAGGGACTGTTGTAGAAGTTTTCTTCTAACTAGTTTTGATCTTTATAAAGATTATTTTAACTATAAAATAATTTTTCAAAGTATTAGTTAAAAAGAGTTTATCTGATCTACCCAATCAGGGTGATAGGAAATTTTAGAGCACTAGTAAAATAATCTAAAAATTATTAAATAACTCAAAATTATTTAGTTATTAAATAGTTTAAAATTTTGCTCTTGACAAAAACTCATTAAATAAATGGATACTTGCTCAAGTGCATCTGCACACAGGGATTAATTGTTCTCTATACCAATTTATTTATTCCGATCAAACTGAATCAAATTATTTATTCCACTTTCTTTTCCAGTATGTAAGAAATACTAGAATTCATAAATTTCTTTTACATTTCAGTCAGAATCTATTTGAAAGGCTGCTTGTTTTAGGTCAGTTATAAATAGGTCCTTGAGAACACTGTCTTCTAAAATATCTATTTCACATTGAAGGGGATAAACAAAGTTTTCAAAGTTTCTGTCACAGGTAAATTGAAAGATACACACAACTTTTAGAGTTGCTATTTAAATCATGTAGATTTTAGTCAGTTAACTAAAACAGCTGAAAGCTGCTTCGAGCTTTGTTAACAATAGGTAATTTTACAAACATTTATTAAGCATACTATGCCTCAGACTGAGTTGGATGATGAGAAGCAAGGAAGGGGAAGATGTAGCCTTTGCTTTCGAGGAGCTCAACATCTATGAACCAATTCTAGGAAAAACAAAGTGGTTCAACTTCAAGCAGGAGGGACAGAAATCACCAGCTAATCAAGCGCTTTCTACTGACTGGGGGGAAAAGGCAAAGAAGAATGTTACGCAAAGGTAATGACCAGAGTAACAGAACCCTAAGGTTTATATTTGTTTTTTCGCCCTATCTTAGTTAGGTGAGTGGGTTCCCATAGTAGTAGAGGGAAAG